ACACACACACACACACACACACACACACACACACACACACACACACAAGATAACTGAGCCAAGATTCCCTAGCTAGGCACTAAGGCCAGTCATACTGATGCCGAAGGAGCCTACAGTCAAGGCTGAAAGACAATTGTGCCTACAAAGTTTCCATCCAGGAGAATAACGTAGCACAAAGGTCAGCAGGGAGCAGCCGCCAAGTCCTTGACCCTGACCCTCTTAACTGCCCTACTGGCCACTTCCACCAAAGTCACACACACAACTCAGGGTGGCTGCTGTCCAGGACTGAGAGTGTGAAGTCAGGAACTGAGAAGCAGAAACGATCAGAAGTTCCTTTTCGCATGTTCAAGCTCCTTCCCACTTTCCCAGGTAAAGGACAGAGAATATTAATTTAGACCAGAGATGGCTCAGTAGATAAAGTACTCGCAGCTATGCTTGAGGACCCCACTTGGATGCCCAGAACCCATGGTGGAAGGAGAGACCCTCCAAACATAAACCCTAGTACAGGTGCTCTCCCCAGTCACACGTAAATAAATAAATTGTAAGAAGATTAAAAAAAATCAATTAAGGAAAATTTTCTATAATATTCTATTCAATAAAAAAAATCAAGAACAAAAGAAGCATATGCGTATAAACAGGAGGTGGTTCATCTGTGTAATAACTTAGAACACTGCCAAGAATAGGGGAAAAAGGCATCAATAATTGCCTTCAGGCAGAGCAACTTGTTTTTCATTGTAAACTGTCTTATCATGTAGGTTTATTTATTTACTATGGGAGATCTTGCTTAATTAAAAGTAATTGGTCAAAATAAAACAGTAACACTAACAGCCATTGAATATTATTAATAATGAGATAAATGTATGCAGGTATCTTTGATGTTGGTAAAAACAGGAAGCACTTGTGGACTCCTGAACACTTATGGTAAGTAAAATAAAAAATCCTGTATCAACAACAGCAGCAACAGAGCCTGAGAACCCACTGCTGTCCACGCACAGTGCCCTCAAGAACCACCACTATCCATACACAGTGCCCTCAAGACCCACCACTGTCCACGCACAGTGCCCTCAAGCATATCTACGTCCACCTGGGAATCTATCTTTAAGAGAAATCTGTTTTAAGGAAATTGTGACACATTGCTTACAGAAATCTGTTTTAAGGAAATTGTGACACATTACCTGATTAACATAATGTTGAATTTTAAAAAGCATAGAAAATTAGGATGTTGTTATTTAAAGAATGGTATGTTTGCACTAGACCATATATAACTGAAAAACCCTGTTTTTAAGAAATCTAATATGAAGAAATGCATACACTGCAGAAAATTTCAAAAGCAGGGTTAAAATCAGAAACTTGACATTTTAAGTTTCCTCCACACCTTCTAGAGCTTGTACCATACTGGAAAATCTTTCCTCTTCTGAGTTTAAGTTTTTTTTTTCACTCCTGTTTTCTCTTAATATGTTTGACTTTACTTTTTTTACATTGAAATATCTGATCCATCTGCATTTATTTCAAAATAACAAGGGTAGGGAATAAGCCAGGCCTAATTTTCCATGTGAATAATCATGATGAAGAATAATCCATTATTTTCTCCAAGGATTTGAAATACTGTTTCTTTAGCATAATTAAATATTAAAATGATATAATTTTTGTCTCCAATTCTAGGATGAAATGGGAAAGGCAAAATTACCCAAGTGAGCTGCTACTCAACTCAGAGGGGAAATGGGTGTAGGGGGAATTCTAAGACACAACAGTAGTTCTCAAAATGAGTAACAAATTCTTAGCAAGGAATCTGAATGTGCTTAAAAAACAAATCTGACCTACACCTGTGTCCAAGGCACAAAAATATAATTCTACTTATAGTATTTGCTATGTCTTAATTGGTTGGGCTGATAAGACCAACTTCCCAAGTGAAGTTGATAGCATTTTTATCTACATTATGGCAAAGCAAATGCCAACAAACAGACTGCTCTCTCAACTATGTCTTAGGATTGTAGACAATTTAAAGTGCAGGCAAATTTAGTCTCTCTCCCACCCCTCTTTACCCTCACCAAACAGATACAACTACTAACAGCTCAG